TAATTAACATGCTTTAAGAATTAAAGCTATGAGGGCCTGGCACGATAGCCTAGAGGCTAAAGTCCTCGCTTTGAATGCGCTGGGATCCCATATGAGCGCTGGTTCTAATCCCAGCAGCCCCACTTCTCATCCAGCTTCCTGCTTGTGAAAGCAGTTAAGGACAGGCCAAAACCTTGGGACCCTGTACCTGCATGGAAGACCCGGAAGAGGCTCCTGGCTCCTGACTTCTCAGCCCCAGCTTAGAAGATCTAATTAAATGAACAAACGAATGGATGAATGAAAAAAATGAATACAGCTTTTAACAAAGAAAAACACAGATTTATAAGCCTAGCTAGAAAACCAATCTTGAACCAAATAGAGCTGAGAAAAGCCATTTGGTCTAACAGTTATGATGGTTACTCTGATGGCCACATTCCACAATCAGAGTGGCCAACTCCTCCTGCTAATGTGTATTCCAAGAGGCAGCACTGATGGATCAAGGAGGGGGTCCTTGTTACTTCCATGGGAATGACACCCACCTGACCTCCCCAGACTCCACACCTGCTACTGAAGGCATGTGAAGAGTGAACCAATAGACTGTCAGCCTCATTTCTCTTTAAGAGTTGCATAAATGGCCAGGTGTAAATTCGGGGGCTATTGTTTATAAAGTATTTGAATTACGGAGTGAGTTCTGGTATTCAGCAGCTCTAACCTTCCTTTTTTTTTTTTTTTTTTTTAATGTATTGACTGTCCTTGGTACTTTATATTTTTTCCTGAAAGACATTTTAAAAAAGATCTGACTGGAACCATCTTTGAAAATCCCTGAAAAAACCTGAAAACTTACAATGTATTAGAAGTCCATACGGTATCACAACATCTAAATGGATTTGTTGACCTTTAAAATGATTTGGCTCTGATGGCCATTTGTCACAATTTCCTACTAATTTCCTTCCCCACCTTTTCCATTGTCAGCACTTGTTATTGTCAGTGGTAGTGGAAAAAAAAAATTATATCGCTTTGAGGGCCTTCAATGTGACCCAGAACAACACAGACCAGCAAGTGGTGTCTCCTCCCTACTGGGCTATGTCTGACCAGGCTCTCTCCAGAGAATCTAACAGTGAGCTCAACAGTCGCCTTGGCATCAAGTGTGTGCACACAACCGGTGTCATTAAGAGGTTTGCTTCTTCAAGGTCAATGATGAGTAGCATTTCATCATGTGAAAGCATCATGATTTACTGACCCCATTCACCAGGTGGTAGACTTGTTACCACTTTGAGGCCATCATGGATAAAACTGTTGTGAAAATTTCCATTCAAATTCTTGTTTCTATTCCTCCTGGGTAAATAAGTCTCAGAAGAAATGTTGGACCATATGGTAAGTGGATTATTAGAAAGTCAAGCTAATTTCCAAACTGGTTTTACCATTATCCTCCCACCAGCAATATATCAGAGAATTAGTTTTTCTATGTCCTGTCTACACATGATACTCCCCGGTTTTTTTATTTGAATCATTTTAATGTGTGGGTGGCAATATTTCATTGTGGACTTAACTTTCACTTCCTAAGTGACAGTGTAATGGAAACATCTTTCCTTGTGTTTATTTGCCATTGATTTCTCATTTTCTGAAGTATCTGTTCATTGGGTTTGCACATTTTATTGTTTGATTTTAATACTAAATTGTAAATGTAAAGTTATTTTACAATGTTCACTCCCAATCTGGAACCTTGTTATTTAAGAACAAAAATTTCCGTGTATATGTTAATTTTGCTTCACTATGGTGACTATTTTAGGATTTTTATTTGTCCCAGAAAAATCACATTATATACTTTAAATATTCATAGCAACATTCGTTTGTTTAAAAAAAAAAACAAAATTTCTAATTTTTCTGAACTTCAGGTTCATAACATTTCTTTTCTTTCATGGTTTGTACTTTTTGTACCCTAAAAGTTCTTTGCTTAACCGAAGCTTACAAAGATTTTCCTCTACAAGTTTAATAATTTCGACTCTAATTTGGGATTGAAGTTTTCTCAAAGAATTGAGCTTTCCATTGTTATAGTTTTGTTTTGTATGAATATAAACACTCCTCTTCTGATTAATGTTTTCATAGTATTTTTTCTTTTTAACTAAAAACATTAAAACATTTTAAATTGTGGAGTTAGTGCTTGTGTTGTTGTGGGGTAAGTGTCCCAGCTTGAGCGCCTGGTGCAGTAACCTAGTGGCTAAAGTCCTTGCCTCATAGGCACTGGGATCCTAAATGGGTGCCAGTAGCCCCATTTCCCATCCAGCTCCCTGCTTGTGGCCTGGGAAAGCAGTCAAGGATGGTCCAAAGTCTTGGGACCCTGCATCCTCATGGGAGACCCGGAAGAGGCTCTGGGTTCCTGCTTCAGATCAGCACAGCTCTCACCATTGTGGCTGCTTGGGGAGTGAATCATCGGATAGAGGGTCGTTCTCTCTGTCTCTCCTCCTCTCCCTGTTTGTTTGACTTCCCAATAAAAATAAAACAAATATTTAAAGAAATCCTTTTTGAAAAAAATTGTTTTTATTTGAAGGCGAAATTACAGAGAGAAGGAAAGACAGAGAAAGAAAGTGAGAGACAGGGAGAGTAATCTCCCAGGCTTTGGTTCATTCCCCAGATGCATGGCCCACACTTAAAAAAATATTTTTTAAGGATTTATTAGTTTTTATTGGAAAGGCAGATATACAGAGAGGAGGAGAGACAGAGAGGAAGATTTTCTATCCACTGGTTCACTCCCCAAATGGCCTTATTGGTCAGAACTGAGCACATTAAAAGCCAGGAGTCAGGAACTTCTTCCTGGTCTCCCACATGGAGGTGGGGTCCCAAGGCTTTGCCACCTTCCTCTGCTTTTCCAGCCCACAAGCAGGGAGCTGACGGGAAGTGGAGAAGCCGGGACACGAACCGGTGCCCACATGGGATGCCGGTGCTTGAAGGACAGCCGATTCAGCCATTGTGTTGGCCTCCAAAAAAATTCTTTCAAGCTCTTTAACATAAAATTTAATTCTTAAATCTAAGTGAATAGTGTGAGGTATATACTGGCTTAGTATATTTTTTAAAGTGAAGAACTAATTGCACCAACCCTATTTGTTGGCTTGTGCCACTTGAAATGCCATCTTACTCATTATTGAAATTTCCTTAAAATATTATTATAAATAAAATTATAAATGTATTATTTTAAATTGTTATTATAATAAATTGGATGGACGATTTGCCCCACATGTAAATTTCCTTACATTCATGAATTGAATTGAATTTTCCTTACATTCATTTTGTATTCCTTCTTCTGTTTATAAATCTTAAAGCCATAGAAATGTGATGGTCTTATAATACTTTTACAAAGATTTGTTTATTTTTATTTGAAAAGTAGGTTTATAGAGAAAGAAAGGGAGACAGAAGAGATGTGTGATTTACGGTTTCCCTCCCCAGACGGTTACAATACCCAGAGCTGGGCTGGTCCAAAGCCAGGAGCCTGGTGCCTCTTTCAGCTCTCCCAAGTGGCTGCAGGGGCCAGGGACTTAGGCCATCTTTTGTTGCTTCATCAGGCACATTAGCAGGAAGCTGGATTGGAAGTGGAATAGCCGGAAGTGGGATCATCAGTGTCCCTATGGGATGTTGCCACTGCAGGTGGAGGCTATATGCCATGGTGCTGGCCCCTTACAATACACTGTGATGTGAGGCAAATCGTCCATCCAATTTATTATAATAACAATTTGAAATAATAAATTTATAATTTTATTTATAATAATATTTTTAATTAAAGTTTTCAATATATTTATTATGTAACTACCTGATTGTAACATCTTTCTTTGAAGATGGCAGGTAAAATAAGTTACCCATAGGCAAGAAAACAAAATAGGAAATAGAGAAATGCGTTGTATGGTACTTTTCTCCTTACACTTCAAGAAGCTACCCTATGAAATATGTTACGTTTAGCATAAAGTGGATTTTCAGGACAAATCAGTTACTGTCTGAATCAGATGAGTTGGACAATGGCAAGGGCCACTTGCGTGCACCATGGGACTAGATGGAAAGCAGGAAGAAGCCTATGGGAACATGAGCAGCACCACGCTGAGGGAAGAGCATAAACTGTATTTTTCTACAAAGAAGTCAAGTGTTCCAGTTTAGCTAACTCACTGCCTCCTGGTTGCGTGTTGCCTGTTCTCACAGCTACACGGATTTATAGGGCAACAGGTTCTTTTTCTTACTTGACGGTTCAAATGACAGAGGGAGGAAAAGCATTATTAGCTTATAGAACGAGTAACAGAAGCGATCATGGTACTTGGAGGTCAGTCAGCACTGAAAAGAGAACCGAGTTGATTGTTTATAGCAAAGCAGTCAAGCGGTGCAAGCTTTAGGCTTAACCGTTATATACAGTATGATTATGCCCTTAAAATTGTATGTTTTCATAAGTAAAACTAACATTAGACAAGTAGAAAAGCTGTCACGTGGGCAAATGTGGTTTTAAGTCAACGCTTCATTAAATTATTTACAATGAATTTCATTGTTCGTGGGCGAAAAGACATTGTCCATAGGGTTGGGTTGTTGTCAAGGCACTTGTGTTTAGGGCAGTGTGGTGGAAGTTTGAGTGCAAAAATGAAATCCTTTAAAAACCAAACAGAAATCGTCCCCCCACCCTTTTTTTTTTAATGGAGCCAAAAAGTGAATATAATGAACTGTATTAATCCGCTAATTTGTTATTGGTTGCCCTTATGTTTAAAAGCAGACTCTTTCTTTCTTCTCCCTCCGCCCCCCCCCTTTTGGGTTATTAAATCAACAATTGATCATGAAATCCAATACAAAAATTCACGTGACAGTCCTTGCCTCCCTTGTTGATACTAGGTTCAGGACTGGAGATAAACCGTTAATTACACGCACCATAATGAAATGTAGCACGACCACAGCCAAAGAATGGGACCTGTTTTCTCACACCAATGGAACCCTATTAGTGCAGTAATCAAGGTGTCTATCGCCTGCCAGCTTCACGAACCTTAACAGTGATTGGTTACCTGCGAGTGTGGTTCTTCTGCGAGTGTCTTCTTGTGACAAGAAAGGACACCCCAGCGTCCCCGGCCCCTCGGTGGAGCGCCCGCCCGGTGGCCTCGGAGCCCGGTGGCCTGGGTGACCTCGGGGCCCGGTGGCCTCGGAGCCCGGTGGCCTGGGTGACCTCGGGGCCCGGTGGCCTCGGAGCCCGGTGGCCTCGGTGGCCTCAGGGCGGCCGACGAGGCGTCGCCCCCACAGCGGCCTCGGGGCGCCCTCAGAGGCGGCGCCCGCCCGGCCGGCCCTCACGCGCCCCGCAGCGCGCCCCCTAGCGGGCGCCCGGGACCCGCAGCCGCCCAGGGCCGCGCGGATGCGGTTGCGTACGTTTGAGCGCTTCCCGCTCCGACCCGTTGGGCCGAGACGGGTAACTGCCACCGGGCTCCCCGGAGCGGCTGCCCGCCCGGCCGGGTGCTCCCTGGCGCTCGTCACCTGCCCGCTCTGGGGAGGGGGCAGTTCCAGAGGGAGCGCCAGGATGCCCTCCTGCAAGGCCAGCGTGCCCTCGTGGGCCCGGGGGTCCCGCGGCCGGAGCCTTTGTGTGCACCGACACGTGCACGTTCCGGCGGCTCTGCGGGAAGACGGCGGGGGAGGGGTCTTGTCCAGGGAGCCATTGAGCAAACCGAAGACCGAAAATGAGTTTGAGTCAACTAAGTAGGGCAGAAGTCGACTCAGACTTCAAGTTTGCGGTCAGAGGCGCAGAAGAGGTGCCGCTTTCATCTCGGCCAGGAAGGTCGTCCTCCCCACCCGCGATGAGACGGCTCCTGGCGATCCTGACTTCTGAGTAGTGGGAACCAGCAGGACTGTGGCTGGAGCTCACACTGTGTCCTGGTGGCCGAGGGAAGGGAGGATGCAAGAGCGAGCACCCCCTCTCCGGTCACTGAACAGTAACCTCATGCGCAAGCGTCACCAAGTATCTTGGAGCCCAAGCTATCTGGCTTTACCCTTTCCCTCCTCCCCGACAGTCACTCAACACTCTCCATTAAAGATGAACAACAGATCATTTTTCATTGCATGGCAACCCTAAAGGCCCTCTGGCCTAAGCAGAGCATGATGGGAGTCTCTCCTCTCATTCTCCCTCCCGGTTTTTTTTTTCCTTTTCTTTTCCTTTTTTCTAACTTTCCCTTTATCACAATAAATCCCTAAATAATAATTTTCCCAGCTAGCGCTGACTTCAGGATGGGGTTTGAACGACCCACGGTGACGCTCCCGTCGGCCTTCCAGAAGGGGGCGGTTTCCAAGGAAAACTACAAGTCCCATGAGCCACAGGCCGAGGGGGCCGCAGGGCATCACGGGAGTCGTAGGCGCGACACCCCTCCGCTCCGTTCAGCCCTCCCGTGTGTAAACTACAAGTCCCAGGGGGGTGCGGCCCTGGCGCGCCTGCGCGCGCGCGCGCCCCGGCGCGGGGTGGGGGTGGGGCCGCCCCGGGCGGCGGGGGGCGGGGTCGGCGCGGGCTGTGTGGAGGCTTGAGACTCCCGGCGCCATTTAGCGCGGAGAGTTTCCCCGGCGGACGCGGCTCCTCTCCCCTCCTGCCCGTCCGCACCGCCGTCTTGGGGTGACAGAAGGCGCCTGGTCGGGGTGAACTGCTCTTTCCTCTCCCTCTGCCCCGTCCACCCAGTCCTCTCGGTCTCCTTTCCTCTCGGCTCAGAGAAGCAGCGGAGCTCGGGCCCGCGGTGAGCGGCCCTCCCCTCCCCACCGTTCCCTCCCTTCCCTCAGCCTCCCCTGGGCCCCGGGCCCGGGAGGAGAGACGGGGGTTCGGCAGGCCCGGGGCGGGAAGGGAGGCCTTGGGGAAGGGGGGGCCCGCTCCTCAGGCACCGAAGCTTCGCGGCTTTTCTTGTGGCCCTTTCCCCCTCCCCCCCATCCGGGCTGATGGGTTCTCGGGGTGAGACCCGATCCCCCTGACTTGGGGGTGAGGGGATCCGGGCGCGCGCGCGCGGCCGCGTGAGAGAGAGAGAGAGCGAGAGAGAGAGAGAGAGAGAGAGAGAGAGAGGGAAAGAGAGGTAGAGAGAGAGGACAGAGCGAGCCGGGCGCCCGGGGCGGCGGCCTCCCTCGCCGCCTCGGCCCCTCCCACTGCCGCCCCGAGGCTGCCACCGCCCGGGCGTCGGAGCTCGTCCCTTCCGCGCCGCCCTCGGGGCCTAGGCCGCCCGGCTCGGGGCGGGCAGGCGGGGAGAGCCGGGGCCAAGTGTCCAGCCGCGTCCGCCCGGCCCTCGGGGGGCCCTGCCCCTCATGACTGCGGCGCCTCTGCTGCCTCAGCCCCGCCGGCCGCCGCTCGCCGCAGGATGGAAGCGGACGGGGCAGCCTTAAGGCCGGCGCCTCCGCTCCCCGATCGGCCCCCGACGAGCCCGCCGAGCCCGGGCCCCGCATCCCGCCGAGCCTGCGGGCCGGCCGCTCGCTGCTGACTTAGAGAGAGAGAGAGAGAGAGGAGAGAGAGAGCGAGCCCCGGGGCCACCCGGCACCCTTTTTGCATCCACACCTCCGAGCCCGCTCACCCCGGACGACTCCCCCCCACCATGTCCGGCGGCGCCCCCGAGAAGCAGAGCAGCACCCCGAGCGCACCCCTCTTCCTCTCGCCGCCCGCGCCCGCCGCCCCCAAGAATGGCTCGAGCTCCGACTCGTCGGTGGGCGAGAGGCTGGGCGAGCCGGCGCCCGGCAGGACCGACGAGTACCGGCGCCGCCGCCACACCATGGACAAGGACAGCCGCGGCTCGGCCTCGGCCACCGCCACCACCACCGAGCACCGCTTCTTCCGCCGCAGCGTCATCTGCGACTCCAACGCCACGGCCCTCGAGCTGCCCGGCCTGGCCGTTCCCGCCGGCCCTCCGCAGCCTCAGCCATCGCAGCCCAGGGCGCCCCCCGAGCCGGCCCGGCCCGCAGCCCCACCGCCCGCCGCCCCGCCGTCCGCCGCGCCGGGCCCCGGGGAGCCCCCCGCAGCAGCATCAGCATCCGCAGCAGCATCAGCATCCGCAGCATCAGCATCCGCAGCAGCCCCGAGCGCAGCCGGCCAGGAGCGGCCCGGGGTCCCCGGAGGAGGCCCGGCGGCGGCGGCAGCGGCAGCAGCCAGGAGTGGCAGCGGCGGTGGCAGCAGCAGGGAGGCGGGCCCCGAGGAGCGCAGCAGCCAGCCCCAGGCGCAGGACGACATCGAGGAGCTGGAGACCAAGGCCGTGGGCATGTCCAACGACGGCCGCTTCCTCAAGTTCGACATCGAGATCGGCCGGGGCTCCTTCAAGACGGTCTACAAAGGGCTGGACACGGAGACCACCGTGGAAGTGGCCTGGTGCGAGCTGCAGGTAAAAGCCCACCCCGCCTCCCCCATGCCAGGGCCACGAGGGCAGCTGGGGAAGGCCAGGGCTGCCTGCCTGCCTGCCTGCCTGCCCTGCTGCCCCTCGGCTGAGTGGCGTGCTTGGTGGGTGCCCGGACGTCTCGGAGGAGCAGAGCCCCCTGTGTCCCCCGGGTGGGATGCTGGGCCTCCTGCAGGTGCCTCCGGGGTGGCTGGCCTCCACTGGGACATCCACTCCACCGCCCTACCTGGAGGTGCTTCGGCTGATTGAATCTCCATAGAAAAGTTTGCTGGAGTTGAACTTTTGAGTTGAACTTGCAGAGTTCGGTGCTGCCTTTTTACCTCTCGGGGAGGTTTCTGTGGTGTGAGTAACGGGCTGTCGCTTCAGTTGACAAGTGTGTTGTAGTTAGCCGAGCGTAGACTACCTGTTGCTGGACTGCCCTCCTCCCTGGCGGGGGGACGTGGGTATTGGTAGAGGCGGGTACCCCGAGGGGGAAAAACAGCCACATACAAGAAAAATGCCATCAGCCATCACCTTGCCAAGGAGGTTGAGCACGCTGAAACAGGATATGAAAGTAATGGGGTGATCTCGGAATTTGAGGTATCCATCAACTATGAATCCTTTGCATCCCACCTTTCAAATGGCCAGAGCCCTGTCAGCTGTGGAAGGGAACTGACAGCGTGCGGAAGTTTAAGACTGACAGGTTCCTTAGGAACGTCAGGATTTCATGAGTTTTTCTTAAGTTAGTAGTTTAAGTTGGTAGTTAGTTTAGGAAAAGGTAGCAGACCTTTTTCTTCCAAAAAGAAAGAAAAAAAAATCGGCTTGTCAGCTTTGGTCTGACACTTGTTTTCATAGGCAGACACTGATTCCGTGCTTGTACCTGGGATGCTGCTGGCTGTTCCTGGGGTTCTACTTTTCTGCTATCGTATTTGAAAAGGTGCTTTTCTTTTTTCCTAGTTGCTGAGCACCTTTTGGAATCTTTCGGTTCCTTCAGTCATCTTACTTGTAAAGACTTACCAGTGTAGGTGCTTTCTCCTGCCTGTGAGAATTTGCTGAGTTTATTGTGTGTGAACCATTCATAGAGTGGAAAAAGTTTGCCTGCTGTTGTACAGAAGAAGAACTCTGTCTAAACTTCTCAGGTTTTTGTTGTTGCTGCTGCTGCTGCTGTTTTTGAGAACTACTGCTGGGTTTTGAGTGATGAGGTGGGCACAGACGTGATCTAACTTAAGGAAGATCTTGTATAATGTATTTTCAAGCCAGTTCAGGTTTTGGCTACAGACCAAAGGAATCCTAGTTCACCGAGTGACATCCTGTTTTAGAAACTTCCGCGTCATTGGTTTTTCATGTTGGTTTTTAAAATGTGACTTTCCTAGCTCAAGGATTCATTATAGTTGTTTTGGTTTTGAGCAAGGCACTTGAAGCAGATCTCTAATAAAATAGTCGGTGGTCAGTGTTTGAATTTTTAATCTTGAGATCTAAGTTAAAGGAGAAGCCAAAGGATTACTAAAACACTGGAAATAAGGGGAAGTTTCTTTTACTAAAGACATACTGCTTAAATCTGTATCTTATGTAGTGAGAGGAATGTGTATCTAGTGGTTGAGTTGAAGGTATACTAGCGTATTAAAACTGGAAGAAATATTAGATTATCCCCTTGTTTGATAAATAAGGAACCTGAAATCAAAGAGCAGGTGCATAAGCTGCTGCGATTGACTTAAAGCATGCGAGCAGGTGGGTGCTAATGATTTGAGAGATGTTCAGACATTTGTTGTCATTTTGATGTGGAGGTGGGTGTCAGATTTTTGGAGACAGGGTCTATAACCATAGCAAATCCCAGGCAACAGTTGTAGGTGTGGTTCTCAGCATTACAGGTGGGCTTTGAGGGATAGGTACTGTTTTCCATTTTAGTTTTAGAGTCACAGTATGTATACCCATCTACTCAAACAAGTATCCATTTTTATTTTAATACCTACGTAATGCTTTGTGAACCCAGAGGATCTTATGTAAAAACTGAGGTTCTTTAATGAAGACAAAGATTTATTTTCTCTGAATTGGTTAGGCAGATGATGTGCTTAAATTTTAATGCCTACTTTTCTTGGTCAGAAGAGGTTGTTGCTGGACTCTATCTGTAAGAATACACAGGGCTTTTTTTTTTAAGAGGAGTTTATTTTTAACCTAATAGTTTAAGAAAGCATTTATATCATTTATATGCATATTTGGAAATGCTTTACTCTTAAATACTTTTATTTCAAAGTTAACTCTAAATAGTGGAGTTCACTTGATTTATTGGTATAGATGAACTATATCTAAAAGAAGGTCAAATCATAATTTTTGTTTATGCTTCTGTATACTTAGTGCCTCCTTCTTTCTGGCTTTCAGTTAAGTTGAGGCTCATGTCTCCATTTATATTAATGTTTTAATGGGAAGTTTTAATAATTTGCTGTGGTTCTATGATTAGGAAATTGTAACACTTCTTTGCTGTAGTTCTTTCTTTTTTTTTTCCTTTCTTTAATGACTTATTTATTTGAAAGAGTTAGAGATGGAGATCTTTCATCATCTGGTTCACTCCCCAAACGGCCATATTGGCCAGGAACCAGGAACTTGATCCAGGTCTCCCACACCAGTGGCTGGGACCCAAGTACTTGGGCCTCCTCTTGCTACTTTCCCAGGGGTGTTATTAGCAGGGAGCTGGATGGGAAGTGGAGCAGCTGGAAGTTGAACCAGTGCCTGTGTGGGATAGAAATAACTCATTAAGCTGAATCTCCTTATTTGAAGATTGAGGATTTTTTAGCTTTTAAAATTTGTGCTATATTACTTAGTTTTTACAATGTGGTTATAAAGTAACTTACAGTCCCAGGAACTATATTTTTTGAGGGAATAGTGTTTGGAGTTTGCTTGTGTTTAAATTATAGTCCTCAGAGTCATTGATTAGGAGTATGGACACAGTTCAGAGGACCTCTTTACCTTTAAGCAAGAATTGCTGCTATGCAAATTAAAGGCTTATAATGTGTTTGAAATAACCTCTGGCCCTTTTAAAAAAGTAGAAGAAAGGACAAGGGTGATTTAAAGATTTGACTGAAAATGTTAGGATATATGGGCCAGGCACGGTAGCCTAGTGGCTAAAGTCCTTGTCTTGCATAGGCTGGCATCCCATATAGGTACCAGTTCATACTCTGGCTACTCCACTTCCCTTGCAGCTCTTTACTTGTGGCCTGGGAATGTGCTCAAGGACAGCTCAAGCCCTTGGAAGGCTGTTCCCGTGTGGGAAACCCAGCAGAAGCGCCTGCCTTCAGTTTGGCTCAGCTCTGTTGCAGCCACTTGGGGAGCAAACCAGTGGATGGAAAATCTTTCTCTCTGTCTCGCCTCTGTAAATCTGACTTTCCAATAAAAAGATAAAAATTTTTTTAAGTTAAAGATGTATTGCTGTTGGAAGAAACTTAAAAAAAAAAAAACCTCATTTATTTTTATAGAGAAGGAGAGACAGAAATATCTGTCCACCCGTTTGCTCCCTAAGTGACCACAATGGCCAGAGCTGTGCTAATCCAAAGCTAGGAGCTCAGAACCTCTTCTGGGTTTCCCACACAGGTGCAGGGTCCCAAGGCTTTGGGCCATCCTCGACTGCTTTTCCAGGCCACAGGCAGGAAGCTGGAAGGGAAGTGGAGCAGCCCGGATACAAACCAGCACCCATATGGGTTGCTGGTGTGTGCAAAGCAAGGACTTCAGTCACTAGGCTACAGCTACCAGGCCCCAGGAAGTAGCTTTGTGCGTTATGTGCAGGGGTTTTTTGTTGCTGTTAATAAAGTATAGTTACTGAGTTTTAGGAGTTGACATATTTTGGTTTTCTCTTATTTACATACTTTTGATTCAGTAATGCGGTTGTTCCTATTCTTAGAACTTGAAAGAGAAGTTATTCTTGTATAAAAAAAAATGGGATCCTATTGTTATCTGGTGACTGAGTTTGTTTCTTGACATTTAGGTCCTAGCGCTAGCTTCCGATCATTTGGAGTTCATGCTCGTTCATCCCTGGGGAAGCAGTACACTAATCCGGGGTATAATTTTCAGAAATCATAGTAACATCCTAAGCCTATTATTTGGGTTTTCTGGTAGCTGGTGTTTTATTTAATTTTATTTTTTAGGATTTATTTGTTTGAAAGCACAGATTTAGCGATCTTTCTATCTGCTGATTCACTCCTTAAATGACTACAAAGGCCAGGGCTGGGCCGTGTGGAAGCCTGGAGTCAGAAACAAAGTTGGTGGGAAAATTGAATTAAAACTTTTAACTTTTAACCAAAAAAATACAAAATCTGTACCTACTTTTTTCATAACTTATGTTTCATAATACAAATGCATTATGGAAAAATGCACAAGCTTTTTGTATATAAACTAGCTTTTGAAAACTTGGCCCCCATATGGGAAGCTGGCACTTGGAGGTAGAGAATTAGCCAGTTGAGCCATCGCACTGACTGCCTGCAGGTGGCATCTTAACTTATTGATGACAAAACTGGCACCAGGGGTGCTTTTATTTGGGAGGCTGTTGTGGCACCTCTTAGAATGGTTGGGATGGAGTCTCCCCGCTACTTCGGATTGAACTTCTTACCTGCACCTGCCTATAGGTAGCATATAGTGTACTTTGTTTCATGCCACCCAGGTAAAGTTCTTTGGCCTGGCCCAGCCCTATTTTTTCTGGGCATTTGAGTAGTGAACCACAAGATGGATGGTTCTCTCACTCCTTTTTTTCTCTCTCTTCCTCCTTCTGTTGCTCTTCCAATCTTTAAAAAGATTTATTTGTTTATTATTATTATTTTTAAAAGATTTATTCATTTTTCTTATTGGAAAGATATACAGAGAGGAGAGACAGAGAGGAAGATCTTCCATCCACTGATTCACTCTCCAAGTGACAGGAATGGCCGGAGCTGAGCTGATTCAAAGCCAGGAGCCAAGAGCCAGGAGCCTCTTCCGGGTCTCCCACGCAGGTGCAGAGTCCCAAGGCTTGGGCTGTGCTCCTCTGCTTT